AGCATTTTATTTAATGTTATTTTTTTAAATAAAAATTTATTTATATTGTAATTAACTTTTTAACAAAACAAATGACTTATGATTACAGGACAGCCAACTGAGTTGGAACACCACATCACCCAAACTGACCGCATGTATAGCCGAGACTGCCTTCACATGGATTCCCGGGATATTCCTCGCGATATGTCTTCCCGTTATCATCACAGATGTGTTCCGTTCGCGACGGCCGTCCATACCGTGGAACGCCTACAATGGCTCGCGACTTATCATAGCCCTGACACTCAGTGTTGTTTGTGTAGTGGACTTCATAATGTGTTTATTACGACAGTTCCACTTCGACGACAAGCCGTCGATGGCATACCTCATATCGACGGCCGTCTACTCCATCATAAGTGTGGTGTTATGTCTGGTGCTGTATTGCCATCAGTTGTCTGGCATACACTGCAGTGGAATCGTGTGGTTCTACCTATTGATGGACGCGGTCTTCAAGACACTATCGGTGGCCACGTATTCGATGAATAGGGATATCCGACAGACACACGAATACACACTCTTTTTGATACAATACTCGTTGACTATAATCCTGTTTCTGATGAACTCCAGCGCCGACAGACTACCCGTCGGTCACTACAGCGACAAATTGGGCGGAAAGTCGCGGGTTTGTCCCAAAGAGCGCGTGTCGTTCCCCCAGAAGTTGATCTTCGAGTGGGTCACCCGTTTGATAGTCAAGGGCTGGAAGAGCCCGTTGACCACCGATGACTTGTGGGACGTGCGCCGGGAGGACAGGTGTAAGCGTGTGTTCGGCGAGTTTAACGCCATATGGAAGGGCACTAAATATACGGCCGACGCCGAGGACGAGAAAGTGGTGACTGAGTTGAGCGGAAAGGGAGGAGATATTAAGTACCAGTCCATTAAGGATTTGTCTGAAAGCTCGTCTCAATCGCAACAGAAGTCGACACCAAATGCGCCCCAAAATAATAGACTACTAAAAGTGATTGGGAAAGGGTTTTGGTTTTACTTTTTGATACCAAGTATATTGAAACTGGTGGCCGATGTCGTACAACTGGCCAACCCTATGATCATGAAGTATGTCTTTCCCTTGACGCTTGTTATTTATTTTTAAATGTTTGTGATTTTTAATTTTATATTTATTTCTTGTTATTTAGATTATTGATTGGTTTCACAACGGATGCTGACGAGCCCTCATGGCACGGGTATATGTACGCCATACTACTTATATTCACAAATATTTTCCAGAGTCTTATCAATGGATACCAGGCACAGCGTATGTCTGTGTTGGGTATGTATTGCTATCAATATCTTATTTTAAACTCAATTTATTAATTTCGTGTATGTATTGATGGGTAGGTATGAGGATCAGGACGTGTTTAGTATCCGCCGTCTATAGGAAGTCATTGGTTCTGAGCAATCACTCCAAGAAAGACACGACTTCTGGAGAGATAGTCAATCTCATGGCTGTTGACTCCCAGAGATTTGTCGGTATGTATTGAAAAACATGTTTAGCTATTATTTGAACCATGCTAAAATAAATTATAATACCTTATTTTGCAGATATGTTGCCGTATTTAAGTTTCTTATGGACAGCACCCGTACAGATAGCCATCTCCTTATATCTGCTTTACAATGAGATGGGTTTGGCCACACTGGGAGGACTGGTAGTCATGTTACTTCTCATTCCCGTCAACGGTTGGGTTTCGACTAAGATTAGGACAATTCAATCGAAACAAATGAAACTCAAAGACCAAAGGGTCCGCAATTTGAATGAAATTCTCAGCGGAATTAAAGTCTTAAAAGTAATTGAAATTATAATTATTAATACCTATATATAAGTTATAATCTAATGTGAAATTTAATTAATTGCATATTTTATCAAAATAACGTTAGACCATTCTGCAAAAAATAATAATAAGAGTTACAAATATACTGCCAATAGTTAAGACATATTTCAATATATAAGTAGTTATACAAGTTCTGAATTACTAACATACAGTTTTCACTTTTATTAATGGCTATAATTTTTGTTTTATAATTCAACTTTATAAAAGAAATATTTCTTATAATTAGTGATAAAAACAAAATGAGTTTACATTTAATGAACACATATTTTGGTGCCAAATAATAGCTGTACGGATGGGAGGAGGCGTTTGTGAAGAATGTTTTGGACATTCGTAAGCGTGAGCTGAGACTCATCTGGAAGAGTGGGCTCATCAGTGGTGTGACTGTCGTGTTGGCCGGGACTACACCACTGCTCGTGGCTTTGGTTACGTTCGGACTATACATAGGATTGGATTCAGACAACAAACTCGACGCCCAAAAGGCTTTCGTGTCGATAGCCCTGTTCAATCTGTTGAGAATACCACTCACTATCGTGCCCAACATGGTTACCAGTTTGATCATGGTATGTTTATTATTAAATTATTAATATATTTGATTATTACTGTATTAATAATTCTGTATTTTCTTATTTAGACATTAGTTTCCGTAAAACGATTGAATAAATTCCTGAACTTCTCTGAACTCTCGGGTTATGTCACAAGACATACGGATCAGAA